ATCTATCTAGTGTTATTTCTTAATAGTCAAAACTTTATTTCAATATATATGTTAAAATTATTCAATTTTTTTCCTTTCGGAGATAACTCTTTATTGGAAATAACTTGAGATGCGATATGTTCGGATGATTTTGCATCTTTTGCTGCTAAAGACTGAATGTTTTTCCTTAACATTATTTGAGAGCATTGGTGGGGCAAACCTTTTCCTAAAGGGCTGAGGCATTTGCTGCAACGCACCTTCGTTTTTTTTTTCCATAGAGGTTTGCTCTATAAGAGGATGTTTTCTTGCAGCTTTGAACAACCAATTCGGCATATTAGGCAAAAACACATTGTGCCTCTTGTTTCAGGTCTCACTTGTATTGACTTAAAATCAAACAAAGGAGTTATTGCAACTTCTTTCCTCTCTTGTTTCCTGCTCAAAGTAATTCTACACAATTCACAGAATTCTTTTGGTACCCGAGTATCACTGATATTGATTTTGGTCTTGTACAGTTGGCATGTTCGATCTGCTTGAAAAGTAGTAAGCTGTCATTAACTATTCTTTAGACAGAGCAAGCACACAAACTTTCGATTTTCATCATGATTCTTTGCTTGATTTGGCATCGTGGCATTTTCCTAAATTTGACTTCACTAAATTAAACTCTGCCTTTTATAAAATTTAACCTATATTTATATTTGATAACAGTCCACTTAACATAGTAACACATATTATTAATTAAAAACTATAAATTTAAAGGAAAGATGTACTTGATTTAATTGAGGTAATATTACATTACAAGGAAATAATTCTTGAATAATTCCAAGAAACAATTGTTTAAACTATTTACTTGTAAGGAAATTACATTTTTGATAATTGCCACACTTATCAAACTAATGATACTTGTCACACGGGTTGTTATATTTTGAAACAACCCTTCAACCTATTTAGTTAATCAGTTAGAGTAATTTTCCTCCGACTGGTCCTCCAAACTTTGTATTGGTCAGATATCTTTGTAAACTTATCTAAATTTTTTAAGTCAATTATCTTTGTCGATATAAAAAATATTTGGTTTTTTCACAGTTGTTCTATATTCAGATAAATAAATACTTTTATTTTCTATGTAAGTATCCCTGAAAATCCATCTTAACCATTTTTTTAGAATTTTTTTGCATTCTGTAATTTATACCTTAGGAAATATCGGTATATTCACGCTATGCATACATGGCCGTCAAGGAAACCAAGAGGACCACTTTTTTTTTGCGAGGACTTAAATATCAATTAATATAAATATCAGTTTTGCGAGGACTTAAATATCAATTGCGAGGATTTAAATATCAATTATCATTGTTAAACTGGAAGCATATAAATTTTAATGAAGACATAAATGTAATCTATAATAAGTTCTTTAATACATTCTTCTCGGTGTACGATGCGAATTTTCCCGTTTCCGAAATAACCTTAAAACCAAAAACCTTAAGTAGTCCTTGGATTACTAAGGGTCTTAAAAAATCTTCAAAAATTAAACAAAATTTGTATATAATTTGAAAAAATTCGCAAAAACCAAAAAAAAATTATTACTCTAATTTAACCACTAAATATAAAAATGACTCAAAACAAATATGGAAAATATTGAAAGAAATAACGGGAAAACAGAAAACCTTTTCAAATTTCCTTCCGAAAATGATTAAGATAAACAATGTATGTGTATATGAACCAAATGAAATAGCGAAAGAATTTAATAAATACTTTACTAATATCGGAAAAAGGTTGGCTGATAGGATTCCATCTACAAATATTTCCTTTAATGATTTTTTGACAACTTTAAATAATTTACTTTCTTCCTATGACTTATTCTTAGACTTATCGATTGAAGAGTTTGAAAGAGCCTTCAAATCTTAAAAAAAAAACAAAGCAACCGGTGCGGATGGAATAAACGGGAACATTATTATAGATTGCTATGAAAGTTTGAAAAATAATCTATTTAAAGTTTTCCAAACATCTATACAACAAGGAGTTTTCCCTGATCTATTGAAAATTGCAAAAGTTATCCCGGTTTATAAAGAAAGAAAAAAATCAAACGTAAATAATTATTGCCCTATTTCTATCCTTCCTACGTTTTCAAAAATATTAGAAAATATTATCTTCGAAAAAACATATAACTACCTGGTTTCAAATAATTTACTATATAAAAATCAGTTCGGCTTTAAAAAAAATAGTTCAACTAAACAAGCCATTATTCAATTTACACGTGAAGTCTCAAATTCTTTTGCTAAATCACAATATACACTTGGTGTTTTTGTCGACTTATCATAGGCTTTTGATACAGTCAATCATGATATCTTACTTAAAAAACTTGAGTTCTACGGAATAACTGGTAAAATGATCAAATGGTATAAAAGCTACTTGTCAAAAAGAAAGCAATTTGTCTACCACGGAGAAGACTTGCTTTCTATTAATCTTCAAAATAAAGCATTAATTGAAATAAAATGTGTTGTTCCACAGGGTTCTATCTTTGGCCCACTTCTCTTTTTAATATACGTCAACGATCTAAATTAGGCCTCAAATCTTATAAGTATCATGTTTGCCGACAATACCAATTTATTTTTGTCAAACAAAGACATTAACAAACTTTTTTTTAGATATGAATAAAGAACTTAATCAAGTTTCTAACTGGTTTAAATGCAATAAATTAACCTTAAATATTGAGAAAACAAAGTGGATCCTTTTCCACTCCTCAACAAAAAGACGCTTTTTGCCTTATGATTTACCTAAACTTTATATTGACGAAGTAGAAATAAAAAAAGATTCCGTTTTATTTATCTTGACGAAAATATGACATGGAAAGCTCATATTGATTACATATCAACAAAAGTTGCGAAAAGTATTGGTATCCTTAATAAGGACGGAAGTTATCTAAATAAAAATAATTTAAAACAACTATACTGCTAATTTATTCATAGCTATATAAACTATGCAAATATTGCCTGGGGAAGTACAGGTAAAAGTAAGTTGCAACGTCTTTACCGCCATCAGAAACTTGCAATGCAAATAATATATTTTTTAAATCGTTTTTCAAATACAAAACCTTTATTTAAAGATATGAATGTATTAAATGTTTATGAACTTAACTTGTACAATATTTTATGTTTTACGTTTTGTTGTATGAAAAACCCCTTATTTCATGTTTTTAATGATCTATTTACCTTTAAAGTAAAGAATAAATATAGTTTGCGAAATAATAACTATTTAAAAGAACCCTTTTGTCAAACTAAGTTTAATCAATTTTTTATAGGTTATCGAGCACTTTATATCTGGAATAAAATTGTACAGCCTAATTTAGATCATCTATCTCTTTTTCTGTTTTTAAAAGCAAGTTAAAGAATATCATTTTTTCTACGGATAATATATTTAAATATTTTTGAGATATTATTTTAACCATTTCTTATTTCAAATGTTTTGGATTCTTATATTGTTATAAACTACCTGTAATATACTATATTATATTTAAACTGTGATTTTTATATGGTTCTGGCGACAAGATTGATATGATCTTCTTCCAGATTCCAAGTTTATATGTTTATATTACATGGAAATCACGACATGTAAATAATATAAACTGGAAAAAAAAAAAAAAAAAAAAAAAAGGACTTTATATTTTAGAAATATGGGCAATTATTTTTGAAGTTATGGATTTTATTTTAGAAATTGAGGGGTTGACCCCCTCCACTTCAAAGGCCGTGTCAACACCATTGGCATAAGCCAATTCAAATCACGCTTTAAGTGTAAATCACTATTTTGGTCTATAAAATGAAAACTGTACATGTACCGATAAAATATTATAACAAAAATTGTTGGTATTACATAGTAATATCAACTCATAAAAACTCATGTAACCGTTATTTTACAAATAGTGACCGAATTTCAAAGTAATTGGTAACTCTTTGAGGTATAAGTAGCAAAAAAATGACAAAACATCAACTAAAACTGCAACAAATTCTACACCAGTCATCCAACCAGGCTGAAATTCTGTCCAGAGTTTGATATGATTATTGGCTGCATTTTCACTATTTTTTATCAAATTATATTGAGTGGGAAAATCTCTACAAGTGTTTTTATTGGCGCACTATAAAGTCAAAACTTGACTTAATTTGAACATTCAAATTAAACTATTTTCCGCGGACAAAATTAAATGATTTCAAAATTTGCATCACAGGGTACTTTGATGTGTACGCTAACTTTCCGTATAAGTGGTGTTCATGGGACAGCTAGGTAGGCATTATAAAGATCCGTGCTAACTGTGAACTATATGAGTGACATCTAACCTAATTTCATACATAAATAATAAAATTTGCATTTTTTCACTTTTTGGTTAAATTAATTGATACAGATAAGTTAAAAAAAAAAGGCAAAATAGTCGTCTATATTGCCAGCAATAAAGAGACTCAGAGGCCATTTTCTTATTCCATTTTCGAAATAAAATACTAATCAGGGTCGGTTCCTTAACAATTATATATATATATATATATATATATATATATATATATATATATATATATATATATATATATATATATAGTAAACTTTATATATATATATATATATATATATATATATATATATATATATATATATATATATATATATATATATATATATATATATATATATATATATATATATATATATATATATATATATATATATATATATATAAATATATATATATATATATATATATATATATATATATATATATATATATATATATATATATATATATATACATATATATATATATACATATATACATATATATATATATATATATATATATATATATATATATATATATATATATATATATATATATATATATATATATATATATATATATATATATATATATATATATATATATATATATATATAGTAAACTTTTCTGTTGTAAACACTTGTTTAATTTTTAAAACGAAGTATTAAGTTAAAATAAAAAATAAAAATAAACTAATTAAAACATATACCTATTTCATTAGTTGAGCTGGGTAACAGTAAGTTTCCCATTTCGGTGTACCAATCTTAAAATAATCAAGAAACTAAAAATCAACTATAAAATCTAATATATGTATATATTTCATAGAGTTGCATATAAAGGTTATTTCTTTTTATTTAACACTAACGAGCATATTTATGAATGTATAAAATATATGAATAATATGTTAACTATGAGTTTAGTTTAGTTTTAGATGGAAACTTGCAACTTCAAGCATATTTTTGTGATCAATCTAAACACATTTGTGCAATCCCGTCTTATTAAGAGGTTTTTATATACTATATTACTGCAACATTAAAATGCGAAAAAAATTTATAAGTTTTTTAACATCTATAAAATTTATTAAGTAAGGATGACAAAAATACTAAACTAAGGAAAAAACTATAAAGAGGAGGTTGCAATTGGAAACAACTAGTTGTTTGTACAACTGGGTTGTAATTATAGTGAGTGATAGTAATGTAACAAAAGTTGTTGTAATATTTTTTTTTTAATTCATTTAGGTACCCCAATAAGACCTGACGGTCTTATTACAGAGCACTGCGGATGAGCATTTAATCGGTACACGCCTCCTTCCAAATCGATGTTGCAAAACTTGCCCAGAAGGTGGTGTTTGAACCAGGTGGGGTCTTTACCACGGATCCTTTGTTTCTGAGGCAAGTGCGCTACCACTGCGCCATGGCTGTTTTTTTAAATTGTTTTTGAAAAGGTATATAGATATAATATATCAATAAATTTATTAAAATGATTTATATATTGTTATTAAATAAATTGGAAAAAAATTAAATAAAAAATGGTGCAAGCAACAGGACTTGAATTTACACCTTGCGCTTTGAAAGCGAAGCAAATGAATCACTTCGGCCACTAAGACATACTCCCCATATTTTAACTCGTGTTTAGTAAATAAAAGACTTTTTTAAAACGGCAATTAAATGCTGTTAATTAAAATTAAAGAGATATTGTTGCAATGCAATTTTTATCTAAAAGTAAAGCTGTTAAACTTGATATAACCATTTTTAACATTACGTAGTTTGAAGTATAGAAAAGTTAGATATTTGCATACCCTTGTGATCACATTTTGTTATAAAAAATAATACTGCGTCTTTTTCTCGCTGTTAGCTCGGGCGTAATGGCTGTCGTTTGTTCTGTACAATCCCGCATTAACAATAAGTTGCTCAAGATGTGCTTTCATTGATTCAAATTTCTCCCTTCCTCATAAGGACGACTAGAAAACTGCATTTTTTAATGTTAGAGTAATGCACGTAAACTCCAAGCCCTCCAAAAAACAGCCAACACAGTGGTTGCATTGTGGTTGTGTATAATGAATGTTGATACACGTCCGGTTTTAAGCCGTCATTGTGAAACTTTATTTTGGCAATTTTTTTAGTGCTCATTTTGGTATCCCTATAAAATAGGGAATGAAAAACAAATTACGACAATTTGATAATGGTTGGGGGTTGGCTGCAAGAACAGATCCAACTATGTTTACAATGCGTTTTTGCACTTTGTCTAAAAGAGAAAGGGTATCATTGGAAAACCATCCCCAGATATGGCAACAGTATATTTTACAAAGACAGATTAGAGGTTTATAGTGATAAAGAATAGAATACGGAGTAAAAAAGTGTCGAGTACAATAAAGAGGTACAACCTTAGCAGATGCTAATTTTGAAATGAATTTGAAGTACGGTTTCCATAAAGGATCGGAAGTAAGAGTTAATCCTAGAAGATGAAAGGTAGATGACTCATCGAATACATTACCATTCACGAATATAGAAAGGTCTAAATTATTACGATAACAATTGGCTGAAAAAAATTGAGTTTTATCTGAATTAAAGTCTACCAGCCACTGTGAGCCCTATGTTGTAGCAGAAGTGAAAATTTTTTTTTAAGTTCAAATGTCCCCTCTAAGCAATCAGAGAGTGTTGGCTTCTTATCATTTATCACAATAATTATAACAAGAAAAAATGGTAGTATCATTAGCGAACAATGCCACCTTGTACGAGTATCTGGAAAATTTTAAATGTAATATAAAAAGAGTATAGGGCCAAGGGCTAAACCTTGAGAAACCCCTGAAGTGACAGGATATGAAGAAGGGTACTGTCCATTGAGGACAAATTTTATACTATGGTTGGGAAGGAAGGACTCAATAATCTTAAAGATGTTACCAGATACACCGTAAGAAGGAAGCTTATGGAGAAGACCAACATGCCATACATTATCAAAAGTTTTAGAAATATTGCCTTAACCTCTCCACCTTTATCTAATGCTCAATAAAACCTATTGATTATTACTGTTAGAAAATCAGTTGTTGAACGAGAAGATCGGAATCTATATTGATGATCAGAAAGTAAGTTGTTGAATTCATGAAAAGGGATTAAGTGTTCCTTTAAAAAAGATTCGAAAACTTTTCTTATAATAGGAAGAAGACTAATGGGACAGTAATTAGACGAGTCAGATTGCTCTCCAGAATTTTCTAAAACAAGCATAACAGATGCCGCTTTCCAGCATCCCGGAAAACATGACTCTGAAAAGCACTTGTTAAATAGTTTTGAAAGTATGGATGACAGCTTAGGAGAACACATCTACAAGACTAAACAGGTATGTTGTCTGGTCCACAAGTTGTAGAAGAGTCTAAACAGGAAATTACTTTCAATACAGATGCTGAAGTGATACAAATGTCAAGCAATGGATCAATCTCTTTGATGGCTATATCAGCGAGAACACTACTAGTGGAACCAAGAGGTAATATTGATGAAAAGTTCTCAGCAAACAATTCAGCTTTGTCTTTAGATGAGGTGACTAAGTCTGAACCATACTAGAGAGGTAAAATAAAAGATTTAACCTTATTATTAATACTGTTAAAGATTCTCCAGAAGTCTTAAGAGCCTATTTTTTTATGATAAAAACAAGATTTTATGACCTGAGAATCGCAAGCTTTGGCTTTTGTTGCTCCTTACGCATTGAGTTCTGACCTTTCCGATGCTGCAATCTCTTGTACTTGCCAAAGTGTGGCAATTAACAAAAAAAGTAAATAAATTATTTCCTAAATCGCTGCATTTTTGAAGCTAAAAATTATATTTTCTGACTTTTATATCTAATTTCATTCATAAGCACTATAGTTTTTGGTGTTTTTGGAGTTTTTGCTACAAACGTTTATATAATTTATTTACAATTATTTAATAAGCAACACCATTCAACCAAAAATGTCCTTTGTCTTAGAAGATGATTTTTTTAGACAAAGTTAAGGTCGTGTTTTAAGTGCTGAAGGATATAGTTAACCGGTTCTTAACACAACTACTTTGCTCTAGTTCTTGAGTTAATACAACTTTATAAGGATGCAACCGTAGTTCCTAGTGCAATGTTTTCATAGTTGACGCAACGACATTCAACTTAACGACAACACTGGCTGCTGCAGCTATATTGTTTTCATCAGTTTGAACGTTTTGTTGTCTTTTTGATGACTTATTGTTGAGTAAACTTAACTCACGTTTAAATATTTTGGCAGCTCGAGATATAACATGCGCAGAGTACCGATGAAGGCAACCTAATTCTCGATTCTAAGCGTCAGAATATATAGTTATTAATAACGTAAATAATTTATTTTCGAAAGGTCTAATGACAAACCCTTACATATTGTTTAACGACCCCCATTGAAAACTTTTTCAATACTTTATCAAATTTGAACTTAAATACAAATACATTATAATTTAAAAAACTAAAAATAGTACCTGAAACACTTAGAACATTTAATATATTTTGTTTACAATTGGTATTTAATAACACACTCCATTTAGTATTTGATGGAAGCTATTTTTATACATTAACATCAAAGAACAATCACTAATCACTGCGCTCAGTTGCACAAGAAAATAAAATGTTATTACTGCCAAGTTTTTTAACCTCAAAACATCACATACACGGGATTATGGGATTAACAAATGTTTACTTTTTATTTTGCAATCTTAACATATTGAGTGCGATCGTACATTAAATAGCATTAGGTTAAATCTTTAAGTCAGAACGTACAAAGGTTTAAAAAATCATCATCAAATTATCGTTTACAAATTTGGGACATTTTGTTTGACATCGATTTATTGTCAAACTTATTAAAAACTCCCAGTGATCGCGGTAGACTTTGTTATTTGATGAGTCTTGAAATCATTTGTAATATATAGATGTCGTTTAATTTAATATTAATATAAAAGCAAGAAAATTATTGCCCTCCTATTTAGTCAGAGTGTGGGATAATAAAATAATAAAAATAATAATAAAATAACTTTTAAGGTTTTTATTGCTCTCAGGTTCCAATCATAAAAATTTTTCCTAAGTTTTCCCGACAAAACATACCATAGTTTAAAACTTGATCAAAAAATGTCTGGAGTTTTTTTTCTTTTTAGGTTATCTTTCCAGCTTTAAAATATGCTGCTTCAAAATGAATGCAAAAATGAAGAAAAAACACGACTTACTATTAACGTTTTCTCTAAAGATTTGTTGAATAATATTTTTGAAAATTTCTGTGTTTTTATCTAGACTTATGAAAATCTTTGTTTTTCAGTAATTTCACTTTTTACATGTTAACTTTTAAATAAAACCTAAACGGCATTGTTTTTCTAATCAGGCAAACCTTACTTTGTAAAAATTATCTTTCTCACTAATTACTTTTGCTCTGCCAAACATATATAGGAATACTTTGTGTATCTACATTTGTGCATAAAATGCTTATTCAAAGTTTTACACACATGTTTGTCTATAGAATTAGTTGCAGCTTCCATATTTGTAAAAATGGTAGCTACACGTGTTCAGGTATTGTATTAGAAGAATTTCATGACGTATTTATTAAATACTAAGCTAAATTTTTTCCACAAACTCAAAATATCACAACAGCGTTTTTATTGATAACGAAACTGTATAAAATTAAGTCGATTTCATAAAAAATAACGAGTGTTTACTTTCTGTAACTTGATAAGATTGTTGTAGATGGTTCAAAACGCATCATGAAATAAAAAACAACGACACAGCATGATGTTATTTTATACAATTTTATAATATAAAATATAATATTTTAAAATATAAATTTTAGACAATGTTTGTGTTTTAAAAGGTTTTTAGTTAAAGTTTTTCTACTTAAAGTGTTTTAAAACCACACATTCCAGCAAATACATAAGAAAAAAACTTAAGCTAGAAATTTTAAGGACAAATTAAAAACCAAACCTTTTTTTGTTAATTGACCATTTTTCTGACACTATAAAACGTTTAAAAATGGGGGTTAAACATTGAAATCTATTCAAAACATGTGAGTTTGGTAAAGAGCAAACAGTTTTTAATTAAAAAAAAACTTCGCATGGTCAACGCTTTGCAGGGAATATTTTAAAGAAAATTTTTTGTTCCAGATCTCCATTTGGATTGTAAATTGAAGTTTGCATTTTATCAGTAAGTCAAAACCTATTTTAACTATATGCAAACGGTAGTCGGTAAAATGCAAAATACGAACTTTTTTGCGAACCATAGTTTTATTGGCTGTTAACAATGATATATTATATAACTAGATGTCTAACTTGCTGGATTTTATTGGACAAAAACTGAAGCCGCTTTTTTTGTTTATAACAATAGTCCGCCATTTGTAAAAAGGGCAAAGGTTGAAGCCTAAAAGTTAAAAATGCAAGTCAAAAGTTCACAATAAATTAAGGATAGTTCTAAAACAAATTTTATCAGTTATAAAATACTTATAAAATTTTTTTTATGAGCCTATGTTTATTAAAAAGTATTTTAATTCATAAAAATGCCTCAAAAGAAAAAGCTTTAATCCCTTTTTAATTGAAGATAAATTAAGGAACCATAAATTATTATATTACAAGTATTATAATTTCCGCTTAACACTTTTACGTAAAAAATTTTTAAGTTTAAAATAAATTTACTTCATTTAAGAAAAGAAAAGTTAAAAATTTTTGTTTGCAAATATAAATTTATAGAACGGGCAAAAAGCGGCTTCACTTTTCGGATCAAAGTTAGACATCTAAAAGCAAAAGTTTTTTTAAATAATATTTTTTTTTTTATTTTTTTTTTTTCGTTAAACTTTCACAATTATATTAATTACAAATTTTTTTTTTTTACACTGCGATAGCATAAACAAAATATACTTCCAATACAAAAAATTAAATATGCTATGACTTGATAAGGGTTTTGACTGTTGTAGGGAACTCGTAGAAGACTGAGTTTAGCCTTATCATCGAGAACCTTGGGGTATTGCGTAAAGTACACATAAACATTATGATTCTCATAAAAAAAATATTTTAAATGTTATTGATGTAGACTTTTTTTTTTCTTTATTCTATTCTATGAGTGGTGTTAGTGTTGTGGTTTATAATAATAATATTATCTTTTTTTTTTAATTAAAAAAAAAAAAAAAAAATACATTTTAATTTTTGGTTGATTGCTGATTGTTTGAATGTGAGCTTAAATGTTAATTTATCAATAGAACTAAAACATTTCTAAGTAATTATCTGCATTGAGAACATGATTTTTTAGTTTTGACTTTAGAGAAGTTATATTGTCAGCAAGAGAAATTGAGGTATAATTCGAAATTAATTTGTTATATAAATAAGGGCCGCAATAAGAAATAGAAAATTGAGAATTTTTTGTCTTTTCCGGGGAACAATAAAGTTACCAGTTGCTCTTGTGTTAAATTTGTTGATATTAGATTGAAAGAAATTTTCTGTAAACCGGTTTGGAACTAATCCTAATTTGTATTTTAGCATGAACAATATATATATAGCATAGATATTAATTTGGTAAATGTTTAGCGCTTTCATTTCTTTTAATAGGGTGTAGCGTGGGTCAGTTTGTTCTTATGATGTATTATTCTAGAGACATGTTTTTGTCGTCGATAAAGGGACATTAACTTTGTCTTGTGTGTGCTTCCCCAAGCAATGTTGGCATATGCGAGATAACTATGTATAAAGGAAAAGTAACGAAGTTTTAGGTTTTTTGTGATAAAAACGGTCTAGCTTTAAAAAGTATACCAATACTTTTAGATATTTTAGTGCTGATGGCATTTATATGGGCTGTCCATGAAACATTTTCATCAATAATCACACCAAGAAATTTAATTGTTTGGGTTCTTTCAATTTTTTCATGTTCGATACTTAGTGACGGTAGATTTGATGGTAGTTTATTTTTATGTTTGTTTGAGTGAAATAAAATATACTTAGTTTTTTGGGCGTTTAATGATAACATGTTAGCACTGAACCATGTTTTAAGTTTTTGAAGCTCAATGTTGACTTTATCAAAAAGGTCATTAATAGAGGTAGATGAGTAAAATAGATTGGTATCATCTGCAAACATTATACAATCTAGATTTGTAGAGGCTTTAGGTAGATCGTTAATGTAGATAAGAAATAACAAAGGCGTAAGAATAGATTCCTGGGGGACACCACATTTTATTTTTAATAACTTTGTATTAGTGATACCGTCTATTATAACACATTGTTGTCTGTTATTTAAATAATTAGTGAACCATTTAATAGTTTGGTTTTTTATACCGTACTTTCTCATTTTTTCGAGCAGAGTTTTATGGTTGACAGTATCGAAAGCTTTTGTAAGATCAATAAAAACTCCCAATACAAATTTTCTTTTATCAAAAGATGATCTAATGTTGTCCATCAGGTCTAAGGTTGCATGCTCTGTAAAATGGTTTGTTTGAAAGCCGTATTGACATTCACTTAAAATTTTATTGGTTGTTAAATATTTATAAAGTCGGTTGTACATTATTCTTTCCAGGAGTTTGGAAAAGACTGGAAGAATTGAGATAGGTCTATAATTGGTTAGCAAGGCCGTGTCTCCAGTTTTAAATATAGGTAAAACCTTCATAATTTTTAATTGTTTGGAACAACTCCAGTTCTAATTGATGACTTGAAAACCTTTAAAAGAGGATATTTTTAAATGTATAAAGTATCAATTACTACATTGCTAGAAATGTCGTCGAAGCCCGGAGCTTTGTTTTTTCTAATTGATTTTGTTGCTTCTTCAAATTCCTCAGATTTTAGGTCACTCTCAGTAAATGAACTAGTATGGTTAGTAAAATAGTTATTAAATGAATTGTTCGAGTTGTTTATTTTGGATGCCAGCTTAGAACCGATATTTACAAAAAATTGATTAAATTTATCGAAGATTGTTTTTTTATCTGTATACTCCAATCCATCTTCCTCAATTCTGAAGGGTAATATTTCGGACTTAATTTTGGTTTTTCCAATAACTTCGTTATAACCGTAGTGGTCATTAAAACATAATGTCTTGGTTTGCAAAAAAGTTCGCATTTTACCATTTCGCAGTTAGTTCGCATTTTACCGACTACCTATGCAAACATGAGACTGATTTTTTTCGGTCGTTAAAGATTTAACGCAAAAAAAAAAAAAAAAAGATTGCGTGGAGATTTCAGAAAAAAATAGTTTGTTAATTCAAGTGTTTAGTTAATTTGTTAACTTAAGTTTGTAATTGAATTCTACTCTATTGAAATATTTAAAAGCTGTAAAGCCTTATAACTAGAAAGATAAGTTTATGATTAAAAATTTTTTGATTATGAAGATTGATGCCAGAAGATTAAAATCTTGTATTATTTTCTACCTTCGGAACAGTATTATTTTCTACCTTCAGAACAGTATTATTTTCTACTTTCAGAACAGTATTATTTTTTACCTTCGGAACAGTATTATGACCAACTATTATAATCATTTGTAATTCATCTTTTTGGTTTCATAACAAGTTTTATTTCTTTAAGAAACTAAACCTTTTCATTTATGTTAAGTTTGTTGGTATTAATAAAAAAAATTTTTTTAAGATTTTCGTGAACCCTTTTAACTAATAAACATTAGAAAACCAATAAACTTGAACTATATAGCAAAAACAAAAGACATTAAAATCTAAAAAAGAGTAATCTAAAAGAGTAAAAAAAAAAAATCCAAACGTTAAAAGAGTAACCCGTAATTTTTTAAAATTACGGGTTACTCTTTTAACGGCGTCCATAAAGAACGTACGCAGTAAAACAACCGAGGTATTTTGGCTTTTACATATTTGGTTTCTTTATTCTTTTTTAATATTCTT